TTTAGTCAGTGGTAGTATTAAACCAGAGCTATGCTAATGCTTATTAGCTTTAGGTATGAAAGGGAAAAGAGAGCAAACAGTGAATCTTGTTAAATGGTGTCAGATTAGTGTAGAACAGCCAGTTGATGTCTGATGGGGGGGTTACTAATAAACATCCAAGCCTCCAACCCCCTCCTCTCTCTAGGCATGATTGGTCCTGTCATTTGGACCCTCCAAACGCGGACCATATGTGAGCTCAGCCCTGGCAATCAGGCTGTATTGTGGAGCAGGCAGCTGAGTTCATCAGGAAAAAATTAGCCCGCCGCTCTGCAAGCCTCGCTCCTATTGGCCAGTCACGCGGCCTGCTCCGTTTGAGGGCACCCCAGACATTCCTGCGGATAATCTTTTCCATTCCTCCGCTCAGCTCGGCGAGGACAGACCAAATCGCAGCACAAGGCCCGCATTGTGAAGGCCCTGTTTTCAATGCCGTCTCTCTTTTTACGTTATTCCCTCTGCCTCACCTCATGTACCACAATTCAAAAGAAGTAAAAACAGCATTTCCCATCAGAGCTAATTTTTCTCTAGAAAAAACCCCCAAAAAACAACAAAACCTTTTACCAAAACATGGTAAAAGGTTGCCCCTTTTTTCAGAATCATGAGGAAAAAAACTAAGAAGGCAACATTTCTCACGATTCTTTCCAGTAAGAGAAAACAAAAACCCAGAACAATGTAAAAACCGCTGAAACCGGAGCCCAGCCACATCAGTACGCTGCCTGGAGTCCAGCACATAGGGGATGAAAACCTCCCCCCCTACGGGTGAGCCTCGATTCGTTCCCAGAAAACCTCCTGCCTGGTCACCGCCACTCCTCTCACAGATCCCACAGCCGCTTGTAATCGTGGGTGCAGGCAGTAGTTGGAGGTCAATCACACAATCTGGGGACACTGGTGAATTTATAGCAACACTTTCCATAATTAGACTCAAGATTATTACAGACTCTATAAAGTTTAGAGCAACTGTCCACTCTAACCAAACATTTCCTTTGCTTTTCGCCTTCGCTTGGCTACCGAACATACCACTGAATTACTTGTACAACAAAAGCCACAAGGCTAGGATGAAAAAAAAAAAAAAAACTTTATTAACTCTAAACTCCTCCTCTCCTGACTTGATTTTCACAAAATAACTAAATCTGACACAAAAACCCAAACTGCTCAATCTCTTAAAATATCCCACAACCTTTAACATACTTCAGGGGGACTTTATGCTTCTAATCCAGATGGTCTGGATTGCTCTGGAAACACATTCACCCTCACCACAAGTTGTGACAGTGAAATATGTTGCAATCAATCATGATAACTGTGTAAAATACACAAAGATGGGGGTGAGGTTGGTGGAATAACTGTGCGTTTCCTCATGCTGAAACTTGTCCATAAAAATATATTTCTTTAAGTAGAGGGGTTTCATTTTACCTTTTAAAAAAATATATTTTGCACTGAAGTAAACATATTGTAATGTTTTCCCTCCTGAAACTAAAAAAAGAAAGTCAAATTAGCTAAATAAATAACTGTCTTGAGGGATCGCTGTGGCAGATGGGAACTGGGTGCAGCTGAAGGCATATTTTTTTAGCTGTTACTGTATCTTGTCATGAATAGTAAAGATGGTCTTCAGTGAAATCCTCCCACAAAAACTTTCTACAAGTAAGGAGTATAAACTTTCAAAAGGTATGCAGTCATGGGAAAAGGAAAGTTTTTAGACTAGTGAGTGCAGTCATAGGGAGAACTCGGAATACCTGGTGATACAGGAGCTTGTAGAGTATTAGTATCTATCCCCTTCAGGAGCTGTGCTGGAGGTTTGCCCTATTCTGTACAATGTAGATTCAGTTCATTGGGTTTGTGTGAGTAACTGTTTCAAGGCAACATTATTTCACCTCAGTGTGTTCATTCACTGAGTGAATTTACTTTTGGTTACCATGTTTAAGTTCGTGATCCATCTAGTTTGGATGAATTTTGGACATATATTTTTTCTGCAACACATGATCTAGACTTTAACTAGGTAACTGCATCATCTGATTATTCTTTTGCTGATTTGCAGTTTTAAAAAGGCAAGTTTGGGATTATTAATCAAGCTTTAGGACAAAGTATCTCAGATTTCACTTGCGAATACCTTGGAATATAGGAGTTCATGTTTAAACCAGTGAGAGTATTGTGTCCTGCCCTGTGGCTGACTTATTGTTGAGAAATTTCCTTTTAGGAAGCAGCACTAGCTTCCTTAAGTTTTTTATTGATGTATCTCTGTTTTGGCATTGTGTTAAAAGACACCTGTATGTTCCAGAGCAGCAAACTACAAAACATGACCTGCTAAATTAAGAGCATGTGTTAGGCAAAACTTGACTGCTAACCCTAACCCTAAAAAAATATTTTGAAGTATAAAGGAATATATTTAATTTTAGATGACTGAAAAGCAGCAAAATACATTAGTTTTTCCCCCCCCCAGCAAATAAGCATTAATTTCAAACATAAAAATTACCATGGTAATAACAAATTGAGAAATCCAAAGAAATGCCATCTGGATTTGACCAGAATAATTATATAAATAAATGTGTATTTTCTGCTTTTAAATAAGTTCAATTGTCAGGTTTTTACTTGGAAAAGATGTGCAGACAGTTTTGATATAGGCTAATTAAAATTTTAAAAGGATCTTATGAAACTATTATTTACAAAGTTTGAAACACCTTGTTTTGAGTATACTTAGAAGGCAACCAATTTTTGCAAAAAGGTGTTTCCAATCTATAAACTAGTTAAACATTTTGCAGAAACTGGGATAAATCTAACGTGGAGATGCTCTATGAATACCTAATGAAACCTACCGGTAAGTTCTGTATCCGGTCTGAAGCAGGTCTGGAATTTAACTTTGACAATTGAACATGTGAAAATGCTCTGATCTAAACCATTCCTCTGCACATCTGGCTCTATGTTAAGCTTTATTGTCCTGTTGGAAAGTGGACCTCTGGCTATATCTTTAACATTTTGCAACCTCTAACAAGATTTCTTTAAGTTTGCGTGTATTTAGCTCCATCTATCTTTCCAATGATCTGTCTCCCTATGTTAAGACAGTATTCCCACAAAATGATTCTTCCATTGGTTTTAAGATTCCAGTTTGGCTTTTCTACCATGTAGAGAATATATGTGGTTAAATAAGTTAAAAAAAATCTGACGAGATTACTTCATTTTGCATATTTGCAGCATCCCCTACATGGGAATTCTAATGGCCTTCTTTCAGCTCTCTTCCTCCCAATCATAAAGAACAGATTTGTGGATTTTAACTTAAAGAGTTGTCATCCTAACAGATTATCTCGCTTTCCATTGGCCTTCTGCAGCTTCTCTAGAGTAACGATGGGCTTTTTGGCTGCTTAAGGTAATAAAACTCCCCTTGCCCTGTATGTGGGGTTTGTATCCAGAGCCATGGATTTGTAATTTTAAAGTAGTGATATAACTTAACAAGATTCCAGATGTCAGACCTGAGCTCTGTTTGGAAGAAACCAGTCCTTCAAGAAACTAAGTCCATCCTGAGCCAGCCTTACTATGTTCTCAGAGCTCAGTTTATGCAAATGCCCAGACTGTGTTGTTCCCCACAAAAAGCCAAGCAGTTGTCATACGTCTTTATTCCCTCATCCATTTGTCTTTTAAACTCTGTTAGCCAGTGGCCAAAGATGTTGCTATTGTTTTATTTTATTTTTTAGTTATTTTTGTTATATCTCAATTGCACTAACAGTGTTTATGGAGTTTGGTTGAAAGAGATTGTTTGCATACTGTGTCATTTCGCCTTGGTTGACCAGAGCAGCAAACTGAATTGCCCTTTTTTGGGGAATAAATAAAGTTGTCTGAATTGAATTGATAATACTTTCCTTTGCAGATGATGGCTTTAATAGGACTCTATGAAAGCCCAAATTATGTTTTTCATCTCATCCTTACTTTATTCTTCAATGCAACCTAACACCAGACCTGTCTAATGTACGAAGCTTTTTGTTCACAAACCATTTCAATTTAATTACACACAGTTGGACTATTTGCTGGCTACAGCTTTTCTAAAGGCTATTCATTCAGGCTTTTCATTTCACTACAATTTACTTCCATGTAATGATAATGAATTAGAGGACACTAATTAAAACTGTATGTTGCAATTTTCAGGCTTCATCATACGTTGAATATCTTGAAAACCCATGTCTCCCAATGATGTTATTTTGTGTTGATTTATCACACAAAATACCGGGAAAAGTAGCAGATATTTGAGGTTGAAAAAAAAAAGAAGTTAAAGGAAAATGACACATTTTAAGGCTCTATATTCTGGGGAGATCGAAGTTCATGGATAAAAAACAAACAAAACTAATGCTCTAATCATGCTTTTTACAAGTTGAAGCTGCTTTATGCAGCAACAGAAGTCATGCTTTTCTCACATGATGGGCAGCACAGCCAGTCTCATGGCATGGATGCTGCAGACAGAGCAAGCCTCAGGGAAGGAATATTTCAGCTTTAACAACATGTTGCACATAGCTTGGACCCCTATTCATTAGCTTCCTACCAGGAAAGGCTCAGCCCAGGCAGGCCAAGGTGACAGCACCTATGTTACCCTGTCTATCAGTCATCAGCATGCAGAGACATCAATCATTTTAAGAACAGGACGAGCCCTGGGTGTATGAGTGTTTCTGCAGCAATAGGGAAGTTGCCTCCACATTAGAACACCAGTCAGGAGTAAGACATCTGAACTGTGTTACAAACATTCTTAATCCAAAGCAAATTATTCTTAATAAAATGTAGCACTGGTCACTGGAAAATATCTTATGACAGTAGAAAAACAAGAAGTAATTGCATTTTTGATGATTAAAATATCTTGTATGGGACATTGTGTGCAGATTAAAATAACTAAACCCTTGTGACCAACATTTTCTTTTCTAATATAAGCAAAAAAATTATTTTATTAACCATAAGAAAAAGCACGTAGTCACAGGTTTGTTGGCAGTGCTTACCTGATGATAGTCGACGCTGGTGAAGCGGACAAACGCCGCTAAAACAGGAGCACGCCTCTGATGAACGACCTCGCTGCATGGGGGGGGCCAATGAGCACTGGGGCTTCAAAAACCCTGCAAAATATGACAGGGAAATATGTCAAGAATTTATAAGTGAAGTAACATTTGGTTGACCAATCATAAAGAGATCTCAGCAGCAGCAACGAAAGGACAAGACCAGATAACCATTAAGCAGGAATGTCCCCCCCACCACCAGAGACCCCAAAAATAGGGAATGGCCGATTTGAGACTTGTCCGTTAGTCAGTCACTTATGGCCTCCAAAAGCAGGATATGTCAAAACTGGTCATTCTTAAAGAAGTTAAATACATTTTAAAGAACAGCTGAGTGGAAGGAAAAATAAGTCTGAAAAGGATATCTTCCACAAATAACTGTCAGCAGAGATTTGTCAAGTCATATCATGTTCTAGTATTAGTCCACTTTCTTTTTTCTTAATTCTTAAGTCAGGAAAGCCTCCTCCCCAGAATATAGAGAGCACTTTAAGCTTCCCTGTAAAGAGAAGCTTTATGGAGATGCTGATTGCATTTCCTAGCACACCCTGGCAACTGCCAATGCAATAGCTGGTTTAATGAGCATGGCGTCACTGTGTTTGATCGACCATTGCTAAAGAGGCTGACAGGCTGGAGCGCTGTGTTGCAAAAAAGTAATTGTGTAGAAAAATGAGCCGAAGTAACAGGTGTTACTTAGGAGTATCGGCTGAAACTATTGATTAATGGAGACTAATCAATCATTCAATTAATCAATCAATTTAGTAATAGATTCATTGTTAACTTAAGGATATGGGCTCTATAACATGCCATTTCCTGGAAGAGTGAAAAACTCAGAGCAGGTGGCCAAAACTATACAAAAATACAAACATTTTGCATTAATTACACACAATCCAGAACTCCTAAAGTGGCATTTTTGACCACTTTAGACTTTAGGTCTTTTTTTTTTTAGCCAATAATTTTTTAGGACATAAAAAAGAATAATGTTTATTGATGAAAATTACTTTATTAAAAGTGTATCTTCATAAATTTATTAAAAAACAACACTAGGTTAGGTTAGTAAAATAATCGATTGCTGCAGCCCTACTGAAGGGGGCTATGAAGGAAAGTCCATTCCAGAGCTTGGGGAGGATTCACAGGTGTCATCAGCTCTACGCACAGACATGATTGTCTTCCTCCTAATGTTAAGTCCCTCCTTAACCACAAAGTCACATGCATCTCATACGTAGATGAAAATGACTCAATCTTCAAGCAGATTTAAAGTTAGGGAATTGCAGGTCAGTAGCTTTATGCTACAATGCAAACAGAAATCTTCCTCTGATCTTGGAGAAGCGTGTTAAAAATCAATAAAGCAAAGCAAAACATAAACATTTAATATATGCATGCTATAACACAAAATATAGTCAAATGTAAATTAAATAAGATTATCATAATAACATTTTTAATTGGCAATACAAGCAGCCTATTTTGAATCCAAATTCTGGCTCATAAATATTTGGTTTGATCCTAACTACATGTAAATCTACATAAAATACATCACTATACATAATAATCTCATCACAACGTTTTTTTGGTGAAAGCTTTTTTGTTTCAAAGAGGATTAAATTGGGCTTCCCAGATGGCCCGTTTATCCTTTAACTTAACATAATGAAATAAAATAAATGAAGACAGTGTCATCACTGTAAAAGTAACGAATGTGAGGCCAGAGAGTACAGTGAATTCAGCATCACTTATCGTATGTATGTATGTATTCTATTGGAGCATTTCAGCCATTGCAACATGGTTTTATTAACAAGACAGAAAACAGCATGAATGAAGCATCATGAGTCTAAATTTAACTACCAAAATAAACTTTTTAATTATAATCTAGTAAACTGAACTTTAGCTGTACAGCTGGACTTCCCCATTTCCTGGATATGCATCCAGATCACAATTACTTAGGTGTTTAGAAAACCTGCAGGATGCTAAACTAATGCTGGACTGTAGAGGGCTAAAGGCTGTTGGGCACAGCTATGAGTTCTGCAGCCCTGTGTGGGTAAAATGCCACAGTTTGGGTTGCCTTGAGGGGCTGGATGAGGCCGTCTTGCTGTCTGTCTCTGAGGTCATGGGGGTGACTCTCAATGGGGTGGTCATTATCTGGCACAATGAAGCAACTGTGGAGGCTGTAACCCCCTCCAGTCAAACCCTCACCGGTCATTTGCATCATGCAGAATAAAAGAAGAAGCAACAAACAAACCAAGAGCTTAAAAACATAAAAATAAATAAATAAATAATAAAAAGGATTTTTTTTTTTGCATGAGGATTTTGGAGCCAAAAACACCAAAAAATGTCAAACCGAGATCGCTCAATATTTCTTTCAAAAACTTGATTCCTTATACAAACTTGAAATGACATATGAAAGGTATTTTACTTTATGACTGACAGTGTAGCTCCTAGCAAAGCTGAGATTTATTTGTGCACTTTAAGAGGCTGCTTTTATTATTGACTCGAGGGGATCATAAGGCAGAGACAAACTTATATGACTTCAGACTTTATTCATTTCTTCTGAAGACCTTTGGATTTTTCATCAACATCAGTAGAAGAAGCCGCTCTCCTGTTGAATCTTCCCTCTTGTGTTTCTCTGTTTGGAGTCTAATAAAGCTCCTTTATTTCCAGCATGAAAAACATGTCACTCCAGATGAGCTCAGCGAATGACATTTAAAGCAGGAAAAGGGATATTGAATTAGTTCCCCATCATAAGCCATCTTGGATGCTGATATCTTTTATCCATGCTTTTGCGGCGGCTTGTGTGCACGTGTGCCGTTCTGCGGATGTGTGACCAGTGGAGCTTTGACCTTGGATGCTTTTCCCCTCAAATCATCAGGTGGGGAAAAAAAGCTTAAGTTAATAGACTGAGATCATTTGAAAAGTGCAAATCAAAGAAAATATGAAGAGGGAATTCTGAGTGTTACATGAGAAGTAAAAATGATTCCCCTCAGTTTATTGATCTAGCCGTGAACAGGGCAAAAATATTTTTTTTTTGCTTTCAGATGCTGGGAAATATTCAAGCAAAGATTTCTTTTAAATTAAGTTTTATTGGTATTATACAGAACAACGATGAGTCGGAGGACAAAAACTACAATGAACAGTTCATGTTATTAAATCTGCACAATAAGTTCAAAGCCAGGCTTGGGTTTCACAGAATCAATTGGAATCAAGTTTTGAAGGAGGATGTCACAATACATTCTGCACCATAACAAAACAAGACTAGATTCTAATTGTATATATCTCTTTTTTTTCTTTTCCTCAAACTGAGTTTTAAAGGATTTCAATCAGTAGAGTAATTCAGTCCTGTTGGACCTCCCTAACTGGGCTGTTTTTTTTAAAAAAGGTCCGGCTTTGATGGGTTCAAATATGTCATTTGGGATAATTTTGATCATTCTTATTTTAATAAAAGTCTAAAATTGTTAAATGATTTGTCTGATATATCAAGTGAAAACAGATCAGAAGTTCAACCTTAGATTAAACTGATTGCAGGAATCATACTAAATAAATAAGTTAAAAAGAACAAGCTAAGTATAAATATATATACTTAAATATAAATACTTTCTATCCAAGCTTTTGAGACGAAGACAGTTTTAATGTTCTAACCAAAAAGTATTCCTAATTCTCAAGAAGCCATGCGTAGCAGGAATAAATTATAGAAGGGGAAAATTTGGTAAACTTAACCACATTTTTTCCATCTAAGCCAAAAGCATCAACTTTAAAAGAGACACAGAACAAACTGTTTTGTACGAAGAGGTTGAAGGGCAAACGGCGACACATGCTCCAATTTTTGGGCAATGTCACTGAACATTAAGGCATTAAGCTGTGAGACAAGCCTCCTCAGCAAAGCTGCACTTTTCCAAAATCAGGAGTAAATTAAAGAGACAGCAGCTCCTTCTACAAAAAAAAGAAAAGTACCACACTCAAAGCCATCTACTGGAATAATGTTCCCATGAGACAGAGTTATGTTAAAGTATGGAGCTGGAATTTCACCTAAAGCTCAGAGGGAGCAAATGAAAGTGGGACAAGTTTTTTATTTTTTTAGTTAGAACATGATCTTAAAATCATAGACCGACTAACATAAAAAATATTGTCAGTTGCAAATGATTCATTACTTGAGTTAAAAGAACAATAATTCCAAGAAATATAATTGCTAAGCTAATAAAACATTCAGCAAGGTGACAGCTGTGAAAATATTTGGAAAACCATAGAGTTAAGAGGCACAGATCTATCTTAATCTTTTGGCATAACGCTGAATTATTCTCACTTGTTTTGCTGTCTTGGCCTTGAAGCAAATGATGAAAGCGGCTGGACGTGCTTGCGCAGGTTAAGGAGCTGCTGTGATGAGTGGTAATGGTTGGTACATGCCTCGTCATTTAATCTCAGCGTTCCTGCAGCATCTTAATGTCTTGGCTCGCATCTTTGAGCAGAAATCTTTGATGTAGGTTTTTATTTCTAATAGAAGGGATTTTTTTTTGGGATTGAACAGAGTTCCTACAATAGACATTTATGACCTTTAATCATTTCACATTTAGAAAATAACCAAATCAGGATCATGTATTTTCTTTTTACTGAGGAAAATCACAAAGGTGTGGCCTTTTTTATAAAAAAAAAAATGCACTTATCCAATATCAGTCCCAATTTTAAAGAGAGTTCTAGGTCAGGTTTCAGTGAATATGTACCGGATCTATAGGGGCATATCTATCCAGCCTGTCTCTATAACAGAGGTAGATTATTAAATCTCTTTAACAGCAATAAAGATGACCCCTTCATCAGCATCTGTCTTTGATTATTTCATTCAGTTTGAACCCTTACTGTTAGGATGAAACCTTAACTGTTTACCTGATTTACTGTTTTTAATGACTTTTTTCTATCTTATCCTAATCAATTGTTGCCTTTTGCATATACATCATACCTATTATACTTGCTTTTTGAGGAGCTTATGACAGCCTCCTAAAAAAACAGCAATGATGTCAACACTACAGCAAACAGCACTGGAATCAGAAAGAAATCTGCAGATTTTCAATTTCAAATATTGGAATTTT